CATTTATAGTCATCTCGTTCAGCTCAGTACTTTTCTCCTCTCAGTAGGGTTGTTTACAGCACATGTGATTTCCAGTTAGTTTCTTAGCTTTGCCTCCGTCACAGTGGAGCTGGCTACAAATGTCGCAGCCTCATTTTAAATTTCAGCAGAGGCCACGCCTCCAGCAAGAATCACTTCTTTATAGCCGAGAGTCCAGACCCTCGTATGAAGCAAAGTGAAGGACAAGGGTCTGGTTTTTTACTAGGCTATAATATATATGGTGACAAATAAATGTTTGGATAACTTTTCAAAAGAACAAACATTCAATAACAAGTCTTTCATGGTAGGTAGGAAAAAATATGTAACTTTTGCTACTAAAAACTTAAGATTTATTAATTTATTCATTTATTAATGGTACCGTCATGGTCCGTGCAGAATGACAAAACACAAAATTATTTCTTTACTAAAACCTCTGTAACTTTGCTCCAGTTCATTTTAGCTACGTGAATCTTTGCACAGGTAATGTCCACAAGTAGATTTATGGTTTCGATTTTAGCCTGATTCATTATAATTTTAAATAGGTTATGAAAAAATTATTCAGGCGAGAGTGAGAAAATATAAATAAATTATGTTCCATCCCCAGTATGTCTAAAACCACAGTGTGCACGCACCCTCACCAGCAGTGGAGGTGTTCATTCATGGTGTTTACGTTGTAGATTTCTCCAAAATGACAYGTGGAAGTACATTTTATAACTTGTGGAAATGCTGTAAGTAGGAGAGCAAAAGCTTGACAGACAATTTGAATGGTGCGTAACGTGCACAGCCTTTGCGGRGTTACAAAAATTTGGAAGTGCACGACCACACGCCAGGACAGCATGCAGGGGCGGGGATGGACAGCGCTATTGCGTCACTTATGGCGTGCGCACSCTGGCGCCCTGCACAACGCGCCGACCATAAACCTAGCTTAAGAGGTTAAAAGTGTTGATAACAGTTTAGACCACTATCTCCAGTCATTTTAGCCATAAAAGGTAGTTTGGAAATAGCTGAARGAACAACTCCTGAAGATAAAGACTTATTAAAAATCAATATAATATCAGTTGAAAAAGATGTGTAGATGTCTTTAAAAGTCCTGTTGATAAAACAACTGAGCTTTGATGTTAGAGAGTTTGCTCCTTGCATCCTTCCTTAGATGATATTTCATTCAGAACAACAGAGGGATGAATTAAGAGTCAGTCTGAAACAGCTGYTTTGATTTGTGAGGACTGGAAACAATAAGTTGTTAAAACATCTAGACTGAATATAAGCTGATGACTATGACCTGTTCTGACAGGTCTGACCAGCCTAACACTGTGTGTTATGTCTGCGTCACTCAGAATCATCAGCAGCTCACCCGCCACCAAGAGTTCACTGTTTAAAGTAGAAAGACAAGTTTAATGGTTTATTCAAAAGTTAAAACAGCATCGGTCTAACGTTAAAAGTCTCTTYATAGAGCTGAGATAAAAGAATTGGTCTCACAAATAGTTAGTGTTTGTCCACATACCTTATTAAGGGCAGGGTCTGTTCTGTCCTCCGACGGACCCTTGGACATGGATCTCTTTGTTCTATCACGGGCCACGTCTTTGGGCTTCTCCGTCTCCCAGGAAGACGTTGGCTTGGGTTTGAGGTCATATCCTGGCCTGTGTGTCACAGCAGTCACAGCTCATTTGGGAATCATAATTTGGTAGCATAAAAAAAGAAAAGAACTGAATTGTTCTCGACAGTTAAGTCAKGATGTCACAACCAGAGACAGTCTGCAGGTATGTTCACGTTGTTAAAACTGCTGCGAGTTAAAGCTAACAGACCTTCACTCACAGGCCACTTTATTAGGTCCACMTGTTCAACTGCTCGTTAACACAATCGGCCAATCACATGGCAGCACCTCAGTGCGTTTGGCTTAAAGCTGTGGTGAAGACCACCTGCTGACGCTCAAACAGAGCATCAGAACAGAGAGGGAAGAGGAAATGTATAATGGTTAGTGGACTTCAAGTGGCCTGTAAGTGTGTTTTATATATTTTCATAATGATGTATATTATCTGTACAATCTATCATTATTCTCCAGACTTTCAGTGACTCAGAACTAAATAAGTGAACTCAAATTCTTCACACTTTATGGAAGTTTCCATAAAATGCTACTCCACTCACCAAAAATTACWATCAACCTAAAAGATTAAAGCGTGGCATGGAGGTTTGAGAGAAGATTTTTTTCCATCTCAGCATCATACTGAGTTAAAAAGAGAGAGCTGTTCAGGCAGATTAAAGCACAACGTCCTATTCATGTCACATCATTTAACATGACCCCCACCCCCCATGGTGCTGAGAGAACAGTTCTGCCCTGTGAGGTTGGGAACTTACAGCATGCCTCCGTTGTTGATGGAGTTTGAACTGGCCAGACGCTGAGGTGAACTGGACTTTGGCTGAAGAAGGCTGGGCGAGCCCTGCATGTGAGTCAGAGGCAGCAATGGCTTAAACAGAGCCCCGACCTTGCACTGTGGAGGAGAGACGGATGGCAACATGCTAAAGACATTCAGAGGCAGCAGGCAGAATATTGTTGGACCCAGGTCTAACGGAGGACTGGATACGACCCACACATGGACACTGGGGACAGAATATTCTCTTCTGGCAGTCATGCTTTTTAGACATTCTGTGTGTTTGTCTCTTTAAACAGACATGCACCTGAGTGAGGGTGACTGATTGCTAATAACCACCTGCCAGTCACTGCTGGGACTTTAGAAGTAAACAAATATCAKGTGCTTTCATGACATTTGGACTAGTAAGGTGGTTAGCAGCTTTTGTATTTAACCAGCCTGAAGAAACATCCCTGCTGTGTGTGAAGACTGAAGACATGCAGGTTTTACTCTCTGTGTGCAAGTGCAATGTGCTTTATATATATATAT